TCTATTGGAGTATTTTAATGGAATATAAGAAATATTAAATCATAAACTTCAAAAAGTAAAATATTAAGATTATTTGGTTAACCTATTTTTTAGTAATTTTTCATTATTAACCATTCATATCTTTCTAATTTTAGTTGAAAATTTGAGAAATATTTTGATTGATAAGATTTTTCTATCTAGAAAGCTCAAATTGATATATGTTTTGAAAGTTAATTCCTTTTAATCAATATTATGCTTATGATAACATAAGTTATATTTTGATTTTGTTTAAAAATTATTATTTGTCATTTATTTGATATTATCTAATACAATTTTTTTTTAAAATAGATTGATAATTGTGATATTTTCACTTGTCTTGAAGATTGCATAGATAAAATGTCAAATTGCATTTAAAAATCTTATTAGCAACATTAATCTTGCTAATATTATAGAAGTTTGGGAAGTTAAACATATGGTAATTATTATAACAACAATCAATTATATAGTATTGTTTCTCATATTTGTACATGTTTACTTTTATCTAGTGAGGTTTGGTTTGTCATCATTTTTTTAAGTGATATTACGATCAATAAATGCAAAATTTTCATTTAGTTTACTAAAAGTCGATGGTACAAGAAGAGTATTGATACACAGAAAATTAATACTTTGGATGTTTCTTTTGGAATTATGATTAATGCTGAAAGTGAAAGTTTTGTGAATTTTATGTGTGGAATACATAATAATGATGATTTGAATCAGGATCTTGAAGTTGATAATATGATTAAAAAGCGCCAAATTTATGGAGAGTGAGACGAAATTGGTAACATTGGCGTCTAAATTCACTTTAACACATGTTTCAGCTACTTTACGGGGTTTAATTCAAGAAGTTGAATTATCTAACTATACTAATTCTATTAACAATGAAGATCAAAGAAGTAGTTCTTAATCTACTACAGGTCAATGCAAAAGGAAGGATTAAAATAAAATGGGGAAAATGTGTTAAAAGAATTCTACGAGTAAATCCATTAATCATTCTGGAGATGGGTATACATGTCGCAATTGTTTTAATGATGGCATAATTCACGAAGTTGTAAAGCATCATGCATAGTTATTTACGTTGTTCAAACAAAGAAAACATATAATTTATTTTCTTGTATTAGTGTTAGTATTACTGCGAAGTAAGTATTTCATTGCGATATTTTTTAAATTCAATAAATAAAGTAATGATCGGCCGAGGGATGGCATTTTAAAAAAAATCATTTTAAATATGAAAAATTAACTATATAAAACAACTTTAATAAATAAAATCTTGTTTTTGGATGAAAATCTACAATTTAATAAATGTTTATTCTTTCATAACATTAAAATTTTTTTATCGTCACGGTCTCCCCTGTACGTTAAGGCAGGCAAAAGTCTGATTCATCATCAAAATTTACGACTTCGAAACTTTTAATCACACCCGACTTTTTATATTTTTCAATCACTTCCATATTTTCTTTCTTTGTATTTAAACTGTTTGTACAATATCCTGTAATAAGGATCAGAGAAAGTGACTTTTGCGGGATACGATTCGTCCAACCTATAAAAAATTCTTCCAATTCTTCTGGATGTAATTCCGTTCGTACATTATTTATGTAATAAATTTTTAACTCATAAAAGTTATTAGGTGAACATTTTACTACCGTATCTAATAATTCTCTCTCATTCAAATAATCATCTTCACCGCACCAAACTTTAATACTTTTTAGTAGCTTGCAACTCATCAGAATCAATTTTAATGATCCTATTTCATTAACCAGAATGATATTAAACAGCGATTCAAGTTTTGGACAAAATTTGGCTATTGATAAGTTTAATGAATAATCCGAATCATCAATGTAAAGAACCTTTAAATTCTTTCCATTGTTCTCCAAAAAGTTGATCAAGTTTTCATAATTTGGTAATCTATAGATGAGTTGTAATTTTAAAATTTGTAACTGCGGAAATTTAACGAATTGTAATTCCTTGAAATCTTCAAAGGGATTACCGAGATACTGACTATATAGATGTGATAAGATGAGTTCTTGTATATTTGAGAAGGAAGAGATGAAGATGGAAGTTCCACCAATGATTTTTAATTTGGTCAAGGTGTTCGAATGTTTGATCAACGAAGGTATGATGTCGGTAATATCTGTCAGATCTTCGGATTGGATTAATGTTAAATATTCCAAGTTGCGTTGCGATGAGATTAAATCTTTTAACTCTTTTGTAACGGACTCTTCAAATTCTATGGTGAGGGATTGTAGATTACAACATAATTGTGATAACTGACTAAAAAATTCGGAATGAAGGTCCGAACTACAATTTAACTTTGAAAGATTTTTTAAACATAGCGTCGCTCCAGGAAATTTTGTAAATTTTATATTATGTGAGATGCTACCATGATCTGAATAATATTTCAACTCTTGCAAACAAGTAATTTTGTTCATAAACATCTTCAAGACTTCTTGCGAGATCAAATAATTATTATATTTCGAAACAAGTTTGACCATTTGATTAATCCCATGAATTGAAATGACTTTGCAAAATGATACATAATTAAACAATGGGGGATTTGAAGTTGGAGTTGCAATGAAAATCTTATTCGTGTGTAAAAAGAACTTTGATTCATTGGGAAGGCACGCAACCAACGTACTCTGAATTTGTGATAGGAATTCTGATGATCTTTTTAAGACGGGATTATAACTCCAGATATCTCTCCATAAGATGATAACGGAAACTTCACACCAAAGGCGATTGACTAATAAGCATGAATGTAAAGTAACCTTGTCGTCCTCCAAGTATTCAAAAATGTCATTAAGGCAATCAGCGGGAAGTCGTGACATTTTTTTTTTTCGTTAAAAATTTTATCATAAAATGATTTTTTATTTTTTTTTTTCTTTATCAAGTTAAAAGGAAATCGGGAGTACTTTTATCGTAAATTCTTTTTATATGCGACTTGTGTTACAAACAGGGCTCATGCATGCATTTTTAATCCTTAATGTATACATGTACAACAGGTGATAAAGAAAATCTCGTGAATTTTCTTATTATAGCCTTTTCTTTTATTTCCAACTGGTGGACTGCGTTTCAACATCATGCCGAGACAGAGGATCGTCAATCAATCAATAAATAACACTTCGATACACCTGTTTCCAATCACGGTATATTATGAATGCTCATTGTAATATCATTATTGAACCCTTACATGCATAAATTAAACGACGTAATGCTTGGAAAATAAAGTCTTATAAATGCCTAGACAAAATTTTGTTCACGTCGAGAATGTTCCAATGATTGGATATTACGCTTCCAAATTGGCGCTACACGATGACGATTCATGTTTTAAGTGGTTCGAGTTTAATATTTTTACAGATTTGAGACAACACTATATTTATCATAACTTTTCTTTGAATTCTCTGCACATTAAACAACAATTCTTCCTTCTCTTGCCAATGAACATAAAACAAAAATTTTTCTTTCTCTTGCCAATAAACATAAACAATAATTCTTTATTCTCTTGCCAATAAACAAATAACAAAGGAACCAAACAAATTAAATTTATAAAAACAAATATCTTAAAAAGGACCGATCTACAATTTTTTGTAACGATAGTCGACTTAAACCTTTAGCAACTATATTCGAAATTCAACTATTCTCATTTTTAGGGAATCGACAGTCCTTGGTTAAGTTTCTCGAAGGTCTCATTTTTTTTTTTTTTTTTTTTTTTTTTTTTAGGAAACTTCTTCGTAGTGATTTTCGATTTCGAATATAAGATCTTACATTAGAATCAAATCGGTTTAAGGAAGAATTATGATACTTGAATACTAAACAAACTCAGGCACATCCAAATATTTCTCATAAACATAAAATATTTAAAGATCTCATTTAATCACCATTAAAAAATTTTGTGAAACAAAACGCGATACAAATATTAATTTTTGAATTTCTATATTATCCCTTAAATGGTAAGTATAATAAACAAATATTTTGATATCTAATGATTATTAGATTTGTCATTAAAATGCATCTAATGATAATATTTTTAAATTTTTAAAATTAATAATTATTAATATAGATCAATTTTTCAACTTTTCAATTTTTAAAAATAAGTAATAATTATTTAAAAATAAAATTTAGTTTATTGGATTCATCTCATTAAGATAACAAGATATATGAGTTTAAATTTTTAATTTTTTGAATTATATATATATATATTTTTAATTTTTACTTAGAAAACATCATAAATTTAACATAAAAAAGCATTAATTTTTTTAATAACATATTTTAAAAATAATTAAAAATGATTTTAAAATTTGTAGGTAAAACAATTAAAGGGATCGTTATTTATATTTTATATCAATTTTTTTATTCATCATGCCGTTGATTAATGTTTCTGGGAAAATTTTTTGACAATTATTTTTTTTAGAAATTGGTATTACCTTTGTAGGAGATAGTCTATAGTAAGTATTACAAAAGCTAGCAACTGGTGTGAAAGGAAGTTGATTTATGTACTAATATAAGAAAGATCATGTGCTTGAATAAATCTTATAAATAGATTTATTACTGATCAGCTCTCTAACCAAAATTAAGTTCTTTTCAAAAACTAAAAAGTTTCGATATTCTATTGGTATATCCAAATTTAGAAAAATCTACTTTTATGGACATTTTAATTTTGTACGACAAATTCTTTCGGTAGTAGAAATCAAAGTGTCCTGTCTCCAATATATTCCTGAATTATCCTTCTCGAATATAATAAATTATTACTCACCCATAGTCATTTAAACCAAAATAAAAATGTTTGAATTGATTAGTTATTTTATTCTAATATTCATAGGTTGGATTACTTATAAAGTATATATTTGGCCATATTATACTTCTCCTTTGAGAAAAATTCCTGGCCCACCTTCTGAAAATTTGCTTTATGGAAATCTTAAAAGTTTTTTCGTAGAAGAAGTCAGTTAATATTTTAATCATAATCGATTTTTGTTGTTAATTTATTAATATATACAGTATATATATATATATATATATTTTTTTAGTCCGGTGAAGCTCACCTTAAATGGTTAAAAAAATATGGAAACTTTGTCAAATATCACGGATTATTAAATGAACCAGCTATTATAGTTACAGATGCAAAATTAATACATGAAATTGTTACAAATCGTGAATTTATTAAACGTAAAATGATAAAAGGGGATCTTATACGCATACTTGGTCAAAGTGTTGCTATTGTAGAAGGTCAAACTCATAAGAGACAAAGAGAAACGATGAAACCCGCTTTCGCTCATAATTTCGTTAAAGTACGTAATCTTATTGTAACAGATACAATTGTGATGACAGAATAATTAAAATCGTCCCTTTTTTTTAAAAAAAAAAAAATTTTTAGGATATGGTTCCGCCAATGGTTCAAGTAGCTCTTAAATTAAAAAGGTTGATTGACGATGAAATAAATGAAGATGAATCAAAAATTAACCTTTCTCCATACCTCTTTAAAACTTCTTTAGATATCTTCGGTTTAATTGGTAAGGAAGAAAAAAAATTTTTTTTTTTTTAGCATGAACCTTGCTTGCCTCCTCATTTTTTTTTTTTTTTTTTTTAAAAATAAAAATTATTTAGGGTTTAATTACGAATTTAATTCACTAACTTCTCCAAGTGAATTTGCAGAAGCTTTTGACTCTTATTTGAATGCCAGAATGAACTTTTTATACATTAGCATTGGTATTTTATCCCCATATATCCCATTCCTTAGAAAAGTTCCAATAGAAATAAACAAAAGGTTTAATAATGCATGTGAAGTTATTGAACGTGAATCGGCAAAGATAGTTGAAAAAAAATACAACGATAGATTGAAAAATGAAATTGATTTAATAGCTACGATAATTCGTGTTAATGAAACTTTACCTATTGAAAGTCAAATGACTAAAAAAGAACTAAAATACCAGGTAGCTTAAAAAAAAAAAAAATTTTTTTTTTTTAAAAGAAATAATTAACATTATCCATTTAAATTTTATTTTGTTTCTTTTTGGATAATTTAGATTATGACAATAACAACAGCGGGACATGAAGCTATAAATAGTACGTTGTGTTGGGCTTTATACTTACTTGCACAACATCCACACGAACAAGATTTATTACGCGAAGAATTGGTTAAAGCCTTCCCTGATAAATCAAAATTTAATCTCACTTATGATGAAATTAATTCTTTGGAATACTTAAATTGTGTAGTTAAAGAAATATTAAGATTATATCCAACATGTAATTATTTTCAATTTTTTTGATCAGATTAAAAAATTTATATCAAAGGTTATATTAACTACTATTCATTTTTGTAGTGTCTGTTTTACAACGGGCTAATACTAAAGATGTAACCTTTGGCGAACATTTTATTCCAAAGGTATGTTTATATCATTTTTATTGTTATTTAATTTTTTCTTTCTAGAAAGTTAATTAATACCACTGCTTTATTTAAATAGGGTACTACTCTTGATATTCCAATTTTAGCACTTCATAGATTACCTTCAATTTGGGGACCAACTGCTGATGCATTTGATCCCAAAAGATGGTTAGATCCTTCTTTAATTAAGAATGTAACAAATTATAATTATTTGCCTTTCAGTGCTGGGATTAGATTCTGTCCAGGTCACAAAATTGCCTCAATTGAAATTAAAGTATTATTAAGCGTATTAATTAGAAATTTTGGTTTTCAAACTGTTAAAGAGTTTCCTCTTAAGAAAAAGGCTGGCTTTATTAGTAAACCTGATTCCATTCTAAAATTAGCCGTTTCTAAAGTTGAAATTTAACAAACTTATTTAAAAGATTTTAGTTTATTAATTTAGCATATAAACATATACAGCATATATATATGACTTTATCAATCTTTGATGAAATTTATAAAAAACTTCATAACAAAAAATAAGAAGGGACCATTATAGACAACGACTCAAATGTATTGATTTATACTTCACATCAATAAACATAATTTATAATAAACACACGGTAAAATTTTAATTCATATGTAAAATTTGTCATATATGAATTCATTAATCTAAAAATAAAAAGTAAACTAAAGTAAAATATTTGCTTGCGATGCAGTAATTAAATTATTTCCTTGAAGATAATAAATTAAAATATTAACACTGTAACTGTAATTTTAATCATCGTCAATCTTTACGGTTTCCAACTTTTTAATAATACCCAACTTTTTATATTTTTCAATTACTTTCTTATTTTCTCCTTGAATTTCTAAGCTCTTTACGCGATACCTCTTAATAATGATTAAAACAAGCGGCTTTTGTGGTATCCGATGACTCCACCTTATAAAGAATTCTTCCAAATCTTTTGGAAATAATCTAGAATTTGCTTTATGTATTAATTTTAATTTATAAAAATTTTTTGGTGAAAATTCTGTCAAAATTTCCAAAAACTTTTTTTCATCCAAACAACCATACCCACACCAAACTTTAATGCTTTCCAACTGTTGACAATTATTCAAAATAATTTCCAATAAATCAATTTCATTAACCGCGAATGTAGTAGATAATGTTCTAAGGTTCGGACAAAATTTGGCTATGAATAAATTCAATGAACGATCAGAATCGGCAATGTGAAGACATGTTAAATTCTTTCCATTGATTTCCAAAAATTGATCCAAGTATTCACATTTAGGAAATCTATGAGGAAATTTTAAGATTTGTAATAGTGGGAATGTAACATGTTGTAACTCCTTGAAATCTTCAAAATTTCCCATATGATTAAGTGATAAAACAAGCGTTCGTAAATTTGTTAAAGTATCAATACTACATGTTAATAAAGATATAACATCAGACCACTTCACTTGATGAGAACATTGTGATAACGTCAAGTGTTTTAAATGATTCTGTGAAGAGATCAAATCTTTTAATCCATTTGAAACATTTCCTTCAAATTTGATACTAAGGGATTGTATATTCGAGATAGTTGATAAAAGAATTCAGAATAAATATCAGAACTACAGCTTAACATTGAAAGATCCGTTAGGCAGTCTGTTGCTCCAGGAAAGTTTATGAAGCCGAGGTTGGAAATGTTTCTTATATTCCCCATTGAAAAATAATTCAATTCTTTCAAACAAGGAATCTGTCTCATAAACATCTTTAATATTGTTCGTGATACTAGATGCTTGTTTCGACTTAAGTTTTGTGGTATATCAGCATTATGGCCTCTAAGAACATCGTAGATGATTCGATCAATTTCATGAATTGAAAGAACCCTACAGAATGATATATAATTGAACAATGGAGGTTTCATTGTTGGAGTTGTGATAAAAATTTCATTTTCGTATAAATAATCCCTTAATTCATTAGGAAGGCAAGCGATCAAAGTACTAAGGATTTTTGATGATATGTACAATTGACGTATAACAGGAAATTTATATTTAAAATCCCATACATTCCTCCATAAAGCTCTAACGGAAACTTTGCACCAAAAACGATTAACCAATAAGCATGAATGTAAAGTAATCTGATCTTCCTCTAAGAATCCAAAAACTTCATTAAGGCAATCAGTAATAAGCATTTTTTTTTTTTTATTGTTTACTTGCTCTTGAGGAGAAAAAAAAAATCTTTACTTTCTCATAAGATTTTGTGTCATTTTATGCAAGTTCATGTTATACAAGGTTTAATTGTCACGCACGTTGAAATCCACACGATGTATAATTTACTGAACATTTACCAAAATTCCAAATTGCTTTGCCACAAAGTTCTTGTCAAAAAAAAAAAAGTTTCAATTGATAACATTTATAATTGTTACCGATCAATTTATTATATTAAGATAAAATTTCATTATCATCACATTTTTTAATATTACCTTTTTTGTATGTAATTTATCCATTTGAGTAATGATTGTCCAAATGCAATTTTTCATAGAATGTTTAAAATTTTATCCAAAATTGTAATTAGATCGTTCATTTTTTTTTTTTCACACTTTACTTTCTTAAATAAAAGCCTAGTATAATAAGTATGATTCTAATTCTACTTCAACAATGTCAATATCAGTAACAAAGGGATGAACTTGAGTACGAAGCGCTTGCATCGGATAACAGGTTATTTACTAACAAAAAGAGTCCGTTTCATTGTTAATTTTTTGATTCCGGGAATAATCCCATCTTCTAACAATTTACCATTGAATAATGTTTTGGATTTTCAGAATTAGCTTTTGTTTTCTGCGCAGGGTTTCTTATCAACCCTACAGTTGATATTTTAGAAAACATATAAAAACCTCGAAATTTATCCAAAAAATAATTCGTCAGCTATTTGTTCAAAAAGAAATGTTTCTCGATGAATTTTGAATGAAGTTTCCTATTTCCAAAAATGTTAAAGTGTAATTCAACTCTTGGGCGTTCAATAGGTCAAAAAAAAAAATAACTATTAATGTTATATATTATTCATAACGTTTAAACGACATAAAACTCAATTTCGGAATATATATCTATCTATAGGTTGTTGAATTACAACTTCGTTTTGCGATTTATGATAATATGCCAATTGTGAAATATCTTGCTTCAAAATTGAAGAATCTCAAAAACGATGAAATAACAATATTAAATTATACATTCAGTCCTAAAAAGAAATGTATGTTCAAATACGCTTCATAACTTGTATATTGGTAAAAAGTTTTTATTACAAAATGGATAAGTAATGATTTACAATGAAGTGAATCGTGTATCAGATAAGTTTTTATTATACAATATTTATTAAGTAATTATTGGATCAATTTATGTTGATTTTTAAAACTAAATATTTAATTATTTAAATTTGGCTGTAAAAAAAGATGGACAAAGGATAATAATTCAACGAATAATTGAAGACAATACATTACCATAAATTCCATATGTAATTTATCTAAAAAAAAAAAAAAATTAAGTTGATTTACTAATTGTTTTATTAGATGTCTCCATAAATTGGTTCGATTTTTAAATTATCTCCTAAGAAAATAATATCTTTTTGTATCATAGAGACTTTCTTATATCGTTATGCTTATATACGAATGAAGGTTCAACCTATAACTTTGTTTTATTGCTTACATGAAAAAAGAACTTTTTTGAATTAAAATATTATCCTAACCTAATTTCTATTTAGCTTAAATATGATAAAAGCCTTCGATCAGACGATCGCTTCGAGCATGATTGTTCCAAAATCCTGCGACTTTTTTCTCGTCTCTTCAAATCATTTGCGCAGTCTTTTTTTTTGTAGGAATGATTTCGATGGTTTAAATTCCTTGGACTGGATCATTAAAAAGATTTTATTTTTTTTTTTTTGACGAATAGAAGTTCGTTTTTTATATGATTAAAAGTAGATTTAACCATTAACCCAAAAAAATATTTTTTTGCAGTGTCTTCACTTCTACTACTTCTACTGCAAATTTCAATTTGATCATAATAAAATTATTTTGATACGTCTAGAAATAAACAAAAGTTTCTTACATAAAAAATATATTTTATTATATCTTTACAAACATAAAGAAATTGAAGAAATTTTATATTTTAAATAATTTATCCTTACTTTTTTTTTAAAAAAAAATATTACTATATTTTTTATTTCAATAAGCCCGGTGTCAGATTCTAATATGTATGAACTGCATCCTTCTCTTATAAGACTCCTACGATTAGTACTTTAAATTAAGGATCGGAATCGATCTAGCAAAATCGAATTAATTGAAATCTATTTTTAGTGGAGCAATGTGTGTAGTTTGAACGATTCACCACCAAAGCAATGCTTTAAGATATTGTTGTATTAATTAGATCTGAGAAAAATAATAACAGAATGATCAAAAAAAAAAAATGAAAACAAAAAAAAGTCTAACCTACAAAAATGAAGAAACTTATAAATAAAAAGATCAAAAAAATTAACAACGGAATGATCAAAAAAAAAAAGCTTACCTAATCCTTCTGAAGAGATCCAACTCGAAAGAGAAATCTTATCGCTGCCGAACCAAAAAGTGAAATAATTTTAACAAACCGCATACACCCAAACAAAAAAAGGAATTTAATTATTAATAATGAATAATTTTTTAAAATAAAATAAATTTTCATTCGATCTCGCGAATTCAAAAAAAAAAAAAAATAAATAAATAGTAAAAAAAAAAATTACAGATGATTGGTTTTTGAAAAAAAAAAAAGAAAAATGCTAAAATTGATACTAAAATCGAAACTACATGCTTGAATCTATTCCACTCCCTGCTTTAGACAGCAAAATTTCTTATTTGATCTATAAATTGTATCTGGAAATTCTCTGCATATTACAATATAAGTATCAATTACATATGACAACTTAATTGTTCATGTCCTTTAATAAATA